GAAAAGAATGTGAAAAAAAGAAGTAGGAAAGAAAAAAAATGGAAAAAGAAACAAAAGGGAAAAAGGAAGAAAAAGTAAAAATCAGAAGAGTTGAAAAGAAAAAAGAGGAAAAGGGAGAAAATGAAAACAGAAGAAAAGATAGAGCCTAGAAAGAAAGAGGCGAAAAAGGCGAAAAAGATGAGAAGAAGAAAGAAAGGATGCAGTTGTAAATAAAATAAAAAAAGAAGAAAACATTAAAGGAAAAGAAAAAAGCAGTTAACAACAGAAAGAAGTAAATAAATTAATAAAGAAGTAAATTTCTTACAACTAATAAATAAGTGTAAGCTTATATATATATATATATGTGTGTGTGAAAAGTGTATATAAATATAAATAAATATATATATGTATAATTATTTATATATTATATGCGCGGTACTTATTAGAAAGCGCTCAATCGATCGCTAAAGCTTATATATATATATATATATATATGTGAAAAGTGTATATAAATATAAATAAATATATATATGTATAATTATTTATATATTATATCTGTTGTACTTATTAGAAAAAGCTGACGATCGCTAAAAGCGTGAAACCCAGGGTCACAAACTCACATCTATCCAACCAAATATATATATATATATATATATATATATATATATATATATATATATATATATATATATATATATATATATATATATAAAGTCATGCATATTGAAACATTGGAAATGTTTTCTGTTTTTATTTTTTTTCTTAATAGCATAATGAAACCTTTGCAATCTATTTGCTTACAAATTGTATAAAGTATACCTTGATTCTTCAGGAAAAAATAAATTGGATGAATCAAAGAATTTACATGAAAGAAAAAATAAATCAGTTTAACTGGAAAATTGATGTTGTCTGTCAGATGTTTTCTCTTCTTTCATTTTTTTTTTCTTTTGATTCTTTGTCCTCAAGATGGCTTCCAAATTCTTTATAGAGTTTTTTGAGGAACTTCTAATAAGCTTTACACCTGAATGAATTTGACAGGTATGAAATTGCTGAAGAGGAAACGAAGAATATCTATGATTTTGTGATTAAGGTGAGAAGAGATATGACGGATTATAAGTGAAAGAAAGGGATGAGCAAATATTGGCTAAATTTAACTCTGGCACAAGGATATAGCAATGGAGTATTTTCCAGGTCAAACACACTACTAATATGAATGGTTTGTAATATGTTCTGCACTACACCTAATAAATATTTAGTAAGATTAACCAAGTCTGGTACAAGATTATAAAAAAGAAGCATCAATTAAAGCAGGAAATTTTAATGACTCACAAGATTCATTTGCTTTCTGCAGCAAAAGCAAAAAAGATAATTAAAATGAAATTAGTCTGGCACAAGGCCATAACAAAAAAGACAACTGCTGAGAATTGAACTCACTTCTCTAGTAAACAGATACAGAGACTAGCTTGTTCAACGGAATTCTACTTCTAGGCTGCTAAACTTGAATGATGTTTGTAAATCTCTGTCCTTCCTTAGGTATCATACGTGATGTATATTTGGTCAGTTATATCTCTTTTCAATTCATGACTGACTTGGAAGAATCCCTGCAGTAGGCTGATGTTACTTTCTATAGCAGACTGATTGCAAACCAAGGATATATGACCTTGTTATTTAACCCATAGCTGGTAGGAGAAGAGATGGATCTATACTTTTCCCAAGGGTATTTGCATGCAAGTAACTGTAACAAACTTGACTGGAATTTAATTTTTGCTATCCGATTTCTCAATCTGAATTGTTATCCATCACATCACCTACCCATGCAAACTTATAGCACCCTGGTATTCCAAAGTGGTTACCCATCTAGGTACTAACCAGGCTCAACATGGCTTAACCTTAAGTCAGAGGCTAAAAATAAAAGAAATTGGTGCAAAATGCAGAATCAGATCCTTAAAGCCTGAATAAAGCAAAGTTTGACTCATTAACAGCAGCAGAAAGTTTCCGAAATTCATTGTTGATCCATAGAAATAGATTGATAAAATCTCCTTTGGACCTACAGATGCCTGTAGAATATAAGGCCACAACAGTACTATACTAGGGGTTGCTGCTATGGTTTCCATAGCAAGTAGGCCATTACAGCATTTTGGATCCAGAATTATCCTTCTCCTAGACTGGTTGCCTGAATTGGTTTGAAATTATGAGTTTTCTTTTTTTTTTATTGGTTGCCACTTGAGGCAAACAAACCCAGTCTACACTGCTATTTAACTCATAGATGGAGAAAGATGTGATGGATTCATGTCTTTTTCAAGGTTATTCATGTAAAAGTAAATACAATAGACAAGGACAGTAATTGGACAAAACTACACCTAAGACAGTTTATTCTATGTTCAATATCTTTATCTCCTATACTGGTTATAACTGATCCATACTTAACACATGATTAAACTTTAGCTTTCACAACTCAAATAGTTTCAAATGAAGTTCATTTAAGATTTTAACCAATATATTAGAAATCAGTTCACCTAATACATATTATCTTTCCCCTCTGGTCATTCAAGCTCAAAATAAATTGCTATTTCCTTAAAAAGATACAGCAGACTAAATAGTACCATTTCTCATTCCTAAAACACAAAATATAGTTTTAATATTACTAAGAAAAAAAGATCAAATTTCTTTGTATACTTATTTTCATTTGTTTCTTTTTGTTATAATTTATTTTCTTTCTTGATTTTTTTTTTTTTTTAAACCTTCCAGATTTTTTCTTCTTCTTTTATTCATATTCTGAATTTTTTCCCCATTATTTTTCCTTGTTTTAAAAAGTATATTTTCCATATTCTCTTTTCATTTTTCATGTGTTTTTATTCACTTTTTTATATTGGTTGCTTATTTGGTATTAGTTTCTTCTATTACTGCCATTTTTGTTTTATCCATTTTCCTTCTTTTTTACTTTCTTTCCTTCATTTGCTTCAATTTTTATTTTTCTACCTTTTTACTTGCTTCAACATTTAAAAAAAAACAAAAAAACAAAGCAAATAAATGAGGGAAAAAGAAAATACTCTTTTTCTTTCTTTATTTTTTTTCCTATCACCATTTTGTCTTTTATAAATTTACTAATGAGCAGTTATCTATCTTTTCTTTAATCATAAGCTATTTCTTTCTGATGCTTATCTTCAGTTTTGGATAATGCAGTCTATCTATCTATCTATCTATCTATCTATCTATCTATCTATTTTTCCCATCATGCATGCATGCATGTATGTATGTATCTATCTGTCTATCTATCTATACATACATACATACATACGCATGTCTACATGATAGTAAAAAAAACACACTAAGTGACATCTTTTATCCCCAGAAGGAACTGCCACAGAATAATAAGTTTTATTGTATCAGTGTTTAACATATATATATATACATATATATGATATAATGATATATAATTTTGTATAATTTTATATATTAACAAACAGTATTCAGAAAAATAGGACAAACTGGTAAACAAAGCCCAGTCCGATGAAATCCTAACAGATGAAACATCGCAAAAACTTCTCCAGTTTGTCATATATATATATATATATATATATATATATATATATATATATATATATATAACAAAGAAGTAGAGAGTAATACGACACTGGTTTTACATAAAAAAAAAACACGGTAACTAAGCATTTTTTCTTTTGTCATTAAAGTAAGCACCATTAACCTGATATATAAATTTGTATGCTAATAAAACTTGTTTGAAAGAATTCTTATATATATATATATATATATATATATATATACACACACACACACAAAATAGAGCAGTATATAATCTTTATATTGTGTATATAATTTGTTCTCAGTTACCTGACGCAGCCTAAATAAGATTTCAGATAGGAAACTAGGCAGTTCCAAACTTTCAGAATGCAATGCGAGGATCTTCTTAAAAAAATGTTTCTATACATTGTACAATTTGTTCTCAATTACCTGACTAATATTTTGTATATTATTTGTTTAGATAAAGAAAATGCTAAAAATTTGTAAATACTATCAATGAACAACAATAAAAAAAAAATAAAGAAAGACCATATCCTGTTTTTGAAATAATATTGGTTGGTTGGTTCCTTTCTTTTTTGCTTCTGTTTTATTTTCCTTCAAACTATAAATTTCAGATCGTATGTCATTTATAAATAAAGCAAAGTGGGGGAGATGAAAGAAACGTAAAAAGAAAAAAAAGTTGATAGTCTTTGCAATGACAATTCATCTGGATTTAGACATATAAGTTTGCACTGACCTTTGACTCTCCAATTAGTATTTCCTTCAATCGAGCGTAATTGGATACTTGATAGGCATGCCGTGTAGATCAGAATGTTCTGAGGAAATTTCGTTTTTTTCTCTAGCTCTTTATTTTTCAAAAATGTTTTTTTCCTTCTTATTTTGTGCACTTCTTGCAGAAAGGTCAGTCAGTTGTATATATCATTGAGAACTAATATCCAGCGTTTGGATCTTTCATTCATCATGTTGTTTTTATAATACAAAAAAGAAGAAGGAAAACATAAAAGCAAGGTACAATTTCCTTCTCCTTCGCTGAAGACTGAATGAATGCCTTAATGCACCAAGGAGGTGCCTGTCTTATTCATTTTTTTCCTAATTTTTTAAAAAAATATTTCATTATTAATTTTTTTAAGAACAAACAAGGGAATGAGGATTATTCTTAAACAAAGAACATTTCTGGATACAGAATCTATCAACTGGGTTTTGAAATGTTTGTTGGTTATTTTGTTTTAGTAACATCAAACTATAGGTTTAATGCTGAAATCTAAATATTTTATATGCAATTTTTCTTGAGATAATAATGGTTTTAGTGATACAAATCTTACTAATTAATCCATAGCTGTGGGGAGAAGAGGTGGATTCATATCTTTCCCAATGGCATTTGCATATAAGTCAATATAATGAACCTGACTGGAATTGGAACTCAGCTCTCCAATTAACAATTCTGAGCCATTATTCATTGCATCATCCACACATCCAAGCTTACAGCATCTGGTATTCCCAAGCAGTCACCCATCTAGGTACTGACCAGGTTTGATGTTGCTTAACTTTGGTGATCATATAGGAACTGCTGTTTCAACATTACCGTTGGTTGAAATTTATAAAATCTTTTTCTTAGAATAAAATTTTTCAGGAAATTAGACTTCTCAAGTTCACAAGCTGTTATAATTCTTTTTCGTATTGATGGGAGTTTCCTTGCAAATCTTTTGTTTAATGTCGTGTGGAAAGTAAACATCCTCATTATATCATCATTTTCTTTTCTACTTATATGTGCTACTATTTTTGTTATTACTACTGCAAGTGTTTCTTCTCTCTCACTTCTCATTTGTGGAATTCTCTACCAGCATCTAGCTTTCCAGTCAACTTTGATCTTCAAAAATTAAAATAATCATACTCCTCCCTGACTTTTTGAACAGGAGTAGAGATTATTCCTTGTTTCCAGTTCCTTCAACTTTGTACTTTTGATATCTCTGCTTGAAGTTCAGTAATTATTATTACTCTCTAAATAGGAGTAGATAGGTCTGCCTATCGTCCAGTTCACTCTCCTCCCTGGTCATTTGAACAGGAGTAGAAGTTCATCTCTTGTTTTCTGTTGAAGATTGGTTTTCCGGCTGCTTCTAAAGTCTACTTCAACTCTATACTCCTAACTTTGCCATAACTTTAAAGTAGCATTTTTATAAATCAAAATTATGATCAAGCTCATTATGATGAGCAACTAATGCATCAAGTGTTGTTTTGTAAAAAATTAAATTCTTTGAGGTTTCACCAATGTATTTTTTGTGACAATTATTACAGGTTATATAGTATATTAATAAGTATAAAAATATAAATATATCAGCAAAATGATAAAAAAAAATGCTTATATAGAATGCCTACTCTAGGTTCAAAAGGTTGAATTATAGCTTCTTCCTTCTATGTACTGTGTTCCTTCAGTTCCTTCAGGAAGCATGCAATCATGACTCTTCACAATTTCCTGTTCTTTGTAGCTCTTAGTAAATTTTGCCTTTTTGCTTTCTGTCCTAATCCCTGTTTTGTGAAGCATTTACATCAGCCCCTTATGTAGGTTATGCACTACTTTCCTCTGTCCTTCTTGCTTTCTATATGTCCTATGAGTATCAAATTTGATAAACCCTCTTTCCTCACTATATACCCTAGAAATTTCAACTGTCTCTTTTTGATGGTAAGACATTAATGTCTTCATCTAGGATTCTGTGGGAGGTATTTCTGGGAGGTATAATTGGGAGGTATTTCTGCCACACATTGTATAAGTGTCCTTTTTGTTCCATTTTCTCTAAAACTTCATCATTGCTCACATGTTCAGTCCATGGTATTCTCTGTAGAACCACCTTTCTGTTGCCTCAATTCTCTTCTTCATCTGTGATGACACTGTCCAGCATTCACTGCCATATAGGAGGACTGGTATAACAGTAGTTAGGTACTCTTTCCTTTGTTTCTAATGAGATGTTTCTGTTTCTTAATACTTTGCTTAGCTTTTGCAAGGCATCTTTCACTATCCGAATGCACTTTTGGATTTCAGTGTCACACTTTCTGATATTTGTCAAAACACTTTCTAGATATTTAAATATTTGTACTTGCTTGATTTTGACATCATTAATTAGTAATTTGTATAGTACAACACCCATAATGATCCATAACACTTACAAGACCCTTGAGAATTGACAGTGCCCCCCCACCACCACCACCACCACCACACCAGTGTACCATTACCACCCTTGTTAAGAATCCCTGATTCTTTGGGTTTTTTTAAATCACAATTCTTTGAAAATATTTTCTTTTTCTTCAAGTCTGTTGTTTATCCATTCAGGATTTAAATTTTTTTTGTTATAAATTGTTCTTGATCTGAATGCCAAAGATTTCGCCAAACAGATATAAATGAAGAATCAGTTTGAAAAAATAAAACAAAGTAGAAAAAAAACTGTTTATATGTACTGAAGAGAATGATGTGTATACTTATTCTCCCAAGGCAAAAGAGTAATTTATTTCATTGCAAGACAAAAGAATAAATTTAAAAATATAATTAAAAAAAAACATACTAAAAATTGAACAACAATAAATGAAATAAACCAAAACAAAGAAAAAAGAATAACAATAAAAAAGTTTTAAAAACTTCCTCACTGAAGAAATAAAAGAGGAAAATATAAAAATCTTAAAAACTAAAAAAGTATTAAAAATTTTTAAATTTATTAAAATTAAAAACATTAAAAATACTAAATGTAAACATAAAAATACTTAAAATACAAGGATGAAAATACTTAAAATATTAAAATACTAAATATAATTTAAATGCCTTTATTTAAAATATTACAATTAATTTTCTAATAAAAATGCTTAAAATACTTAAAATAATAAAATTTATGTACAAATATTTTATAGATTTAAAACAATTAAAATGCTAAAAAATGCTCTTCAGTACATATAAACAGTTTTTTACATTTAAAACAATTAAAATGCTAAAAAATAAAAATACTTATAACACTAGAAAGAAGAAAATACTTAAAATATTAAAATACTAAATATATAATTAATATTTTAGGTGCTTCATGAAAATACTTAAAATAGTAGAATTTATGTACAAATATTTTATAAAAATGTTTAAGATATTAAAAGTATAAAAATAATAAAATCTTAAAAATACTTTAAAAATAGAATTTATATTTTCTTTCTTTTTAATATTACATTTTTAATAATATAAAATGATTGTTTTTATTTTTTATATTCATTTACTTTTTTTATAAAAATACTTAAATTACTAACAGAATAAAAATACAAAAAATATTACAAATAAGCATAAAATAATTACAATAATAAAAAAATAGACAAAATACTAATACAAATTGGTGTTATAAACACTTACATAAATCTCATAATTTAACCTATATTACTCTGTATGTGACTTCATTTGCTGAACAAAAGATTTACCCTGCCACTGAAGGTAACTGATCCCTGAAGAATAGAGTGTTTGAATTTCATAGTTGTGTTGTCATATCCTACTATGGCAACTGAAACAACTTTGAGTGAAATTAACAATACGGATACTGCAATTGAGAGGTATTGAAAAATAATGCAGTGGGAAGTGAAGTAATATTAATAATGCAGAGGTTGCAACAAAATTTAATTCAAAGATGTTCTTAGACTATGGACTGCATTCTTTACTGTTTCTTTCGTTGTTATTGTAACATTTCAGCCATTCCAGAATTCTTCAGATATACATTCTGAAAATGATAAAGAACCTTTTGAAATTACATACGCTTTTTTAAAAATCCATTCCACTCCATGATTGTCAATATATTCTGTCTTTTATTTTCGACTTTCTCAAATATTCTAAAATAAACCTACGTCATTTTTATTACACACTTCTCTTGCATAAAGAATGCCGTGTAACGCCACTAATAAAATATATTTTCAATATTACATTGCAGTATAGAACGTTTATTGTGATCCAAGAAAGTAATATTGGAAATAGACTTTGCCAAATTCTATCTTGGTGTCAGGATGAAGTTAATAACATTCTAAAAATTGTTCAAGTCTGAGGAAAATTGTACCAAGCTGATTTTGCCAAAACAATTTTATTTTTAAAAAGGTCAAACAGGTTACTTATTTAACAGGTATCATATTGTGAAAAAGCTCTATACAGACATTGGCTTAAGGTTACATATCATTGAAACACATATGTACGATTCCCGTATAATCACCTAAGTTAAGAAACATCAAGTTTGGCCAGTACTTAGATGAGTGATTGCTTGAAAATATCAGGTGCTGTAAGCTTGCATGTGCAGTTCGTTTAATGAATAATGGTTTGGAATTAATAATCATTGGTCCTGTTATATTCACTTAGATGCAAATATCCTTGGAAAAGATATGAATACACTTCTTCTTCCCCCAGTTATGGGTTAATTAGTAAGACTTGTATCACTAAACCATTATTATCTCCAAAAATAATTCTTACAATTTAAAAATATTTTCTGGCTTTAAATAACCTGCAATGGGTTGATAAACTATTGAAAAATGAATCAATTAAATACTGCATAACTACACTGTCATGTCTTTTAGATTTATTTACATTATCTGGAATATGAATGAATAGAAACTACCATGGCCACAAAGTGAAGGATCGGTTTATGTATTGATTCTAATATAGAATTGATCTGCCACTTTATATCTATATTATAATTTCTTGTTTGTTTATCAAATTCTTAGGTGATTAGGTATGAATCCATCTTTTCTACCCCCAACTATGGGTTAATTATTAAGACTTGTATAACCATTATTATCTTAAAAAAAATAAACATTTCTTACAATATAAAAAGATTTTCAGGTTTTAAATAACCTGCAAACAGTTGATGAGCTGTAAAAAATGAATCACTCAATCAATTTATAAAGAAATTTTGATTGAAGATCCCATTTTTCACAAATATGAAAAATCCAAGAATTGATTGATTTATTCATTTTTTCATAGTTTATCAACCCTTTGTTGGTTATTTAAGACCAAAATGTATTTCATTATATAAGAATAATTCTTTTTCTGTGAATGAATACGGCACAAGAAATGAATATCTTGAAAGATGTAGATAGCAAAAAAAAAATTTATTTTTGAACATATTGTATAAATTCTGTACATTTATACATTTATATATAATAATTCATTTTTTTACAAGAGCTCATATTACAATTTTGTTGTTGTTATTGCTTTTCTCTAACATTCTACATTACTGGTTCCCATATTGTATTCATTTGTATGCTTGGCTGACTTAGAAGATTTTTACAGCATAGCATATGTGCTGATTCCTTAAGTTTTTGCATTTTCCAGTGATGTTCTCTGTCTATTATTTCAACCTCATCCCACAAAGAGAAATAAGATAATTGGTATTACAGTTAAATTTTTGAAGATCAGAGTCGAGGGGAAAGCAAGAAGCCAGAAGAAAGTTCCACAAGCAAGAAGTGCAAGAGAAGAAACTATAAGCATAGAACTCATGGTTACATCTAGCAATTTCAAAGTTCTCCCAAAGAGTGTGAGTTCAATACCCAGTTAAGGCAGTGGAGAACTTGGAGAGGAGAATTAA